AGATCCTGGAGTGGTTTGCCATTTCCATCTCCAACTCATTTTACAGATGAGGAAACTGAGGCAAAACAGGATTAAGTGATTTGCCCAGGGTCACCTAGATAGTATCTGAGGCTGGATTTGAACTGAGGAAGATGAGTCTTTTTGACTCTAGGCTCAGTGCTCTATGCATTATGGCGCCACATAACTGCCCTTCCACCTGGCCTTCTATTAAAAATAAGTCAGTGTCCCCAATTGATAAATGGTCAAAGGATATGAACAGACAGTTCTCAGATGAAGAAATTAAAGCCATCTATAGTCATATGAAAAAAATGCTCTAAATCACTATTGATTAGAGAGATGTAAATCAAAACAACTCTGAGGTACCACATCACACCTATCAGAATGGCCAACATGACAAAACAAGAAAATGATAAATGTTGGAGAAGATGTGGGAAAATTGGAACACTAATGCATTGTTAGTGGAGTTGCGAAATGATCCAACCATTTTGGAGAGCAATTTGGAACTATGCCCAAAGGGCTATAAAAATATGCATACCCTTTGACCCAGCAATAGCACTTCTAGGGCTATATCCCAAAGAGATCACACAAACAGGAAAAGGACCCACATGTACAAAAATATTCATAGCAGCTCTTTTTGTGGTGGCAAAGAATTGGAAATTGAGAGGATACCCATCAATTGGGGAATGGCTGAGCAAGTTGTGGTATATGAATGTGATAGAATACTATTGTGCCATAAGAAATGATGAACAGGCTAACTTCAGAAAAACCTGGAAAGACTTGTAAGGTCTGATGCTGAGTGAAGTGAGCAGAACCAAGAGAACGTTGTACACAATAACAGCCACGTTGTGTGATGACCAATATTGATAAACTTAACCCTTTCTGGCAATACAAGGATCTAAGACATCTCCAGAGGTCTTGTGATGGAAAATGCTATCCACACCCAAAGAAAGAGCTATGAAAGCCGAATTGCCATTTTTTTTCCTCTTCTGTTGAGTTTTGTTTCCTATTGGTTTTAATTTCTACTTACAACATCACTAATGTGAAAATATGTTTAATATGAATGTAAATGTATAGCTTATATCAGATTATGTGTTGTCTTGGGGAGGGTGGTGGGGAGGAAGGGGGAGAAAAATTTTAAACCCATAAGCATATGGAAGTGATTATTGATAAATCAAAATAAATTATTAAAAAAGGTAAAAAAAAATAAGTCAGTGGCCTGATCTGTGACAATTAGAGGAAAATGGAGGTCTCTGGCATCCTCCCCATGGGGAGGGAGACAGTGGAGTTAAGCAGATGGACTTGGGTTCAAGTTCTACCAGTGACACATACTGATTGTGAGACCCTGAACAAGTCACTTAACCTGTTTGCCTCAGTTTCTATAAAATGGGGATAATAATAGCACCTATCTCCTAGGGTTGTTGTGAGGATCAAATGAGATAATAATTGTCAAATACTTGGCACACAGCAAGAGTCATTAAAATGTTACCATCATTATCACCATCACCATCATCATCATCATCATCATCATCATCATCATCATCATCATCATCATCATCATCATTATATATGCCACTCTCTAACTTAGAATAGCGAAGACTTAGGTTTTGATCCTACCTCAGATGCTTACTAGCTGTGTGAATCTGGGAAAGTCATTTAACCTTACTCAGCCTCAGTTTCCTCATTTGTAAAATGAAGGGATTCGATTCGATGTTTTCTCTTTGTTCCGGCTCTAAATCTGTGCTGTCTCTGAGCCTCAGTTTCCCATTTATAGAAGAGCTAATTATACCATATATACTACTCTACTTTACAGAGTGGTTGGAATGCTCAGTTGTAAGTGTTGTGTTTTGTGAACTTTCCTATCGGGCTCTAGAAAGTTCAGATATTGTGGCTTTAGGTCAATGATTAGCCCTGGCCAGGACTGCACTGTTCTTATCATTTCCAAGGGGCCTTTGTTCACTATGGGGCCATTGTTAGCAATTGCGACATAGAGATCCAGAGAGATTCTAAGTTGTTTGTCTGAGATCGCCCAGCCAGGTAAGGCCAGAGTCCAGGGTCAAACCCGGATGCTAGAATTCCCAGGCCCAGGTTTGGTACCTGAACAATTCGCCATGTGGTCTTTGTCCACTTGTGACCGAAATAAACATTGCCTCTCCTCCATTTTTGCTCCTCCCTCTAATACTGGGGACTCCTACTATTCTCCCCACTCCTTTCAAACCATTACTAACCAGGCCAGCTCTCCTTTCCTAGGAGAGTATATTGAATGTGTATGTACACATATTCTATATCTATGCATATATGTATACCATTTATGTATACATATATATGAGATATGTAGAACAGAAAAAGTCATACTGGGCATTTACATATATTGTTTATATATATTACATAGTGATTTACATATATTTACACTTGAGCATCATAATAACCTTGTGAGGCCAGCGTTACAAGTATTATCGCCATTTTACATTTAAGGAAATTGAGACCAAGAGAAGTTAAGCGCCTTAGCTATGATTACACGGCCAGCAGGTGCTATAAGAAGGCTTTGAACTGAAGTTTGTCTGACTCCCCAGTATAACTCTTTATCTATGCTATATAGGATAACCACCCCTTCTTAATATAGGCTTATATACAGGATAGATATAGGATATATATATGTATATATATATATGTGTGTGTGTGTGTGTAAAATAACCACTCCTTCTTAATACAGGCTTATACTGCCTGTCTACTTAATATAGGGCTATGCTGCCCTGTGTGAGGGGAAGTTCCAGGGGAATAGTTCATCCCTATTTTACAGATGAGGAAACTGAGTCTTACAGTGCCTCATTTCTAGACAGAGAACTAGATGCAGTATGTCAGGACCAAGAGTGGGGCCCAGTTCTCTCACCATCACCCCACCTCCAACCCAAGGTTCCTTCCATTCAACCAGAAACAGCCTAATTCTAGTGACTCCTTTCCCAGCAACAAACAATCCCAGCCCTGCCCTGCACAGCCCAGCCCAGCCCAGTCTGTCTCCTTCCCCAACAGTCCCAAGCCTCTGATGTTTATGTTCTGCCCTTTATACTTTGGAAAATCCTGTCTGAACAGCTCAAGTGAATTTAGCACAGGTGGGCCCTGGCACCATTTGTCAGAGCAAGGCTTGGCTACTGAGTTTCTCTGATCACAGTTTTATTTGTTTTTCTATTCTCTGTCTCTCTGTGTCTGTCTGTGTACACGTTTCTCTTTCTCTGTTTTTGTCTGTCTCTGCCTCTGTCTGTCTCTCTCCCTCCCCATCCCCCCTTTCTCTTTCTCTCTCTCTCTCCTTCCCCTCACCCTTTCTTCCCCTCCCCCTACCTCCCTCTAATGGCCCACTAATTGGTGAGGAAGCAAAATTGACTTCTCGCAGAGTGGCTGTTAAATGAGCTAATGATCAGAAACAAAACCGAAGGCCCTGCCCTTGGTTTGTCGGGTCCCAGTCTAGTTTCAGACTTAACCCTTTCTTTAGGTCTGATCTCTGCTTCCCAAGTGGTAGATATGGTGACTAGAATAGACAGCCATGATGGTTATAACCAGGAGAACAAGAATACCAGGTTTTGAGTAAGGACAGGTTGGGCAGGTTCTAAAAATGTGCCTTCCAGTTGGGGCTGTGGATAGAGAACGAGGCTCAGAGCCAGATGTGAATTCGAATCCTCCCCTACTGCCAACGGGGGGTCAGTGGGGAAGAGGATGCTGGAATTGGAGTCCAAAGATCTAAGCTTGAATCCTAACTTTGCTTGTCCCTGACCATTTGTGTGATTCTGGTCACAACCCTGTAAGAATCTGGGCCTCTGCTTGTTCAACTGTAAAGATGACCTTTCAGGCTTAAGCAATTCTCAGGCTTTCAAACCTGCCTATGTGATCCTTGGCTAGACAGCAATCCTCTCCCAGGCTGTTTGTCATTTTAAAGATGCCAGTTCTTGCTTTAGAGGAACTTTTTCTGTCCTGCTCTAAAGCCCAGAGTCCTATTTTCACGTTTCTTTCCCTTTATTTCTTCTCCCAAATTCTCAGGTGTTTTGGCTCCCAGGGAGGAGGCAGGGATTTAGAATAGAACTACCTGCCAACAGCAAGGGAATTCCTAAGCTTTTAAGTCATTCCAGGGGCTTGGAGGGCCTGTTCCTGCCACGACTAGGCAAGTCTCCTTTATGACTTTTATCTAAAAGTCCGTTCTTTTTTTATCATCTATCATCTCCATCTTTGTGTATTTCAGCTCTGTGTCTCTGTATCTCTCTGTCTCTTTCTACTCTGACGCTTCTCTCTTTTCATCTCTTCTGTTTCTCTCTCTCGGTGTCTCTCTGTCTCTGTCTCTCTGTCTCTCTCTGTTTCTCTTTTTCTCTGTCTCTCTGTCTCTGTCTTGCTCTCTCTCCTTTGTGTCTTTCTTATCTCTCCTCTCTCTGCCTGTCCCTCTCTGTCTCTCCCTCCCTCCCCATTCTCTGTGTCCTTCTCTGTCTCTGGGTCTTTCTTCTTTCTCTACTGTCTCTGTCTCTGCCACTCCTTGTTTCATCCCCTTCTGTTTGCCTCTTTCTCTCTGTCTCTGGTCTCTCTGGCTGCCTGTCTCTCTGTCTCTGGTCTTTGTTTCTTCTCCATGAAGCTCCCTCACCAGCTACCAGAATTTCCCCATCCTTAAATATCTTTATATTAATTTCATATTTATTCTGCATATACTTATATGTGCTCATGTTGCCCACCCCAATAGAGTATAACCTCCTCATGGGTAAGGATTATTTCATTTTTGTTTTTATTTCCCCAGTAGCTAGAACAGTACCAGCTACATATTAAGTACCTAATAAATATTTGTTGATTGACTGATTGACAGATTTTTCCTTTCACTTATCTCTATCTCAGTAGGCACTTATATATACTTGTTGATTGATTGACTGACTGTCTTTGCTTCTCCATTCTCTGCCTCTCATCCTCCTATTTCTGCCTCTCCTATTTCCCTCTCCCTCTGCCCCATCACCCCATCCTACCCAGTGCCCACTCACCTGATACCTCCACAAAGCCATCCTTGGTTTTAACAGTCAGCTCCTCTGGCTTGTAGCTATGCACATTGACACAGACCTTCCAAGGCTCCCCAGGGCAGGGGGGTGGGCTGCGGTTTTCAACAGGCCCATACCTGGCCCCATAGACTGGAGGGGCCATGCTGGGGACCAGGGGAGTCATGCCTGCCCTTAGGGTGCCTGGCCATGGGGACAGTCTGGGGCGGGCCCAGTCGGGCCAGTCTGCAGTCAGGTCGTCCGGGAAGGGGGCCATGCCAAAATCGTCGTCCAGCAAGCGGGTAGACAGGCCTGACTCCCTGAAAGGGTCTCTCCTCAGGCGGGAAGAAGGGTAGGTGCAAGAAAAAGGCATTTGGCCGTCGGCCATGGCTGCAGGCGTGGGTCAGGGCAGAGTGGCCCTCCTCCGACTCCCAAACAGTGGCAAGAGCCCTAGCTGGGCACTATGGGCCCAGGACAGCAGTTACCAGTTGACTCTTCTGGACCTGCCTCTGGCTCCCTGTGTGGCTTCTCAGCAAATAACCATCCAAGGCCCCTCCCCAAAACCAGAGTTCTCCCTCAGAGAGGCTGTCTCAGCCCTGGGGGAGGATAGGGATGCCAAACCGGAGCGACAGGAATCCCTCCAGATATGCCCTCCCCTTGCCAAAACTCTCCAAGGGATTTAAATCCAGGCAAGGGAAGGAGGACAAAGGGAGGGGAGAGATCAGTGAGTGCCCAGTGGCTTGCGGATGGCAGAAGTGCCCAGCCCCCACTTCAGACCTGGGGTGGATTCTCTCTGGAGACCAGGCAGGCAAGCAGAGGTCGGCACCAGCACCCTTTGGGGCCGCCTGTCTCTCTCTTCTGTCCTTTTCTCCGAGCCCAGGCAGCGGCTTAAATAAACATCAGCGCCCAGAAACTTCTCGTGTTCTCCAGGGCTGGGCAGGGCGCCTCCGCTTATATGTCCTTTGATGCTGGCCAGGAGTGGGGGTGGGGAGGCAGGGAGCTTTTGCAATCTCCCCTTGTCAGGCTGTGTTTTGGAGCCGATGAGCTACCCTCCTGAGCAATGCGATTGGGACAGCTGACTGCCCTCCCAGGGGAGCTGGGAATGAGGGGCTATCCAAGTTTAGACGCCCCTCCTGGACCCTGGGAGTCTCCCCTCCTCCTCCCTAGCCTGTCTCCTCCCTGCCTGACCTCCCTCTCTTGTCTCTGCAAGGAGGGACCCACGCTGCAGCAACTGTCTGCAACTGCTCAGAGCCCCGTCTGCTATTTTTAACCCTCCTCCTCCTCCTCCTCCTCCTCCTCCTCCTTGGGGCCCCTGCCCGGCTCCCCGCCACCTCTGCCCCTGGCCAGAAGGCTCTCCAAACACACTTGTCCTTCTGCTTCACTATGGGGACACACACATTGAGGGATATTAGGAAAGAGAATTGAACTGATCGCCAGTGCCGCGATCCATCCCCCCTCCACCCCCATGGAGGGTGTCCGCTCTATTGCCACGGGGTTTGGAATCCTTTATACGGTCGTATCTCAACTCTGCTCTGCGTCTCAATCTCTTCTTTTGTACTACTACTACTACTAATATCTGTAATACTGAGATAATATCTGTGCCATGCTTAGCACAGTGCCTGGAATACAGTAGGAGTTGAATAAATGCTCATTCCTTTCTTTTCCCCTTCCCTTAATAACAATAACACTTATGTAAGGTTTGCAAAATATTTTAATGTTTTTTTCATTTGATCCTCACAACAACTGTGAGAAATTTAATAATAATAATAATAACAATAATAGCATTTATATAGTGCTTTAAGACTTGCAAAGCATTGTACAAATATCATCTATTTAATCCCCATAACAGCCCGGAGAGGTAGGCGCTATTTTTATCCCCATTTTCCAGATAAGGAACTGAGGGAAGTAGAGGTTAAGTGACTTGCCCAGGGTGTCTAAGGTGGATTTGAACTCAGGTCTTCCTGACTCCAGGTGCAGTGCTCTCTCCATGACACCACCTAGCTGCCTCTGTGAGGCAGGTGCCATTAGTAACCCAATTTTACAAATGAGGAAACTGAGGCTCAGTGAGATGTGCCAAGTAAGTGCCGTTGCTTTTGGCTCAGGTCTTGGGTGGGTGGGGGTACTTTGAGTCAACTTGTTGTTTTGGAAGTCCCCTAAATGAAACCGAAGGATGTTAAATAGCTGAAAAGGTATGATATGTGATACCCTCTTCCTTCTCCCCCCTCCCCAAGGGTATTTGCATTTTGCTGAGGGGAGTTGGAGATTATAGGATCTTAGAGTTAGAACTGGAAGGGACATTTGTGGTCATCTGGCCCCATCAAACAAACGTTCGCCTCCGCACAATCAGTCAATAAACATTTATTGACACCCGACGTGTATCAGGTACTGTACTTAGCACTAAAGATATAAAGAAAGACAAAAATAAAAACAAAACGTAACACTCAACAAAAACAACAACAAAAATAATCCCTGCTTTCCAAGGGATCCTATTTTGATGGAAGAGTCAACGTGAGACAGCTGGTTGTCCTCCATTCTCAAAGAGGACCCAAATAACGTCACTATGTAGGGGTCAAAGTACAGTGGGTCCAACTGCGGCCCATCAGACCAATGTGAGCTCAAAAGACTCTACCACAGGTTGGGCACGTGAACACTTGGAGTGGTTCCTCTAAAGTTGCACATCTTAGGTTTCTTTTGAGTTACTGCAATTCTGCTTTGCTCATAGAGCACAGCACCTTCTTTGATGTGGGTACGCTATGCTGGGCAGTCCTGTGCCAGTGTCTCCCATGTCACACAATCAGTTCTAAAGTTCTTAAGAGAGACCTTGAGAATCTCGTTGTATCTCTTCTTCTGGCCTCTGGGCTTGCCTTCTGTGATTTCTTTGTAAAATAGTCTTTGAGGCAAAAGAATCTTCGGCATTCAAACAACTTGGCCAGCCCGTTGGATCAAGTGAAGGTATCCAAAGGAAGGAAGGAACTCCCATGAAGAAAGTCTTCCTATAGAAGGTGAGATTTTACCTGGGAAGTTGAAGGTAGAGATGAAGAGTGAGAGCACATTCAGGCGTAAAGGATAGCCAGAAAAAACTCCTGGAACCATGACATGGAGGGTCTTATCTGACGAACAGCATGAGCTAGGTCCTGGGAACATAGACATGAAAATGAGATGTTCTCAATCATCAAGAAGCTAACATTAAGGGGCAGTTAGGTGGCGCAGTGGATAGAGCACTGGCCCTGGAGTCAGGACCTGAGTTCAAATGTGGCTTCAGACACTTGACACTAGTTGTGTGACCCTGGACAAGGCACTTAACACCATTGCCTAGTCCCCCCCAAAAAAATTGGAGTCAGGAGAACCTGAGTTCAAATCTAGCCTCAAACACTTGACACTTACTAGCTGTGTGACCCTAGGCAAGTCACTTAACCTGGATTACCTCACCAAAAAGCAAAAAAAAAAAAGCTAATATTACACATAAAACATGTATGCATGTATATATACACATATAATACTTAATATTATATTTAATAGATATAAATCTAAAATATATTATATACAATAAAATATATGAATATAAAATATTGAAAATTTGAATTGAAAAATTGAAAAATATGAATATAAAATATATTTGTATATAAAATATACAAATACATATATATACATGCATACACACACACAAAATATATGCAGGCAGAACAGATGGTTCTGGAGTCAAAACATATAGGTTTAAACTCTGTCTCTAACACTTAACTACCAGTGTGACTGTGGGTAAGTCACACTTAACCTCACTTAACCTCTTTAAGTCTCAGTTTTCTCATCTGTAAAATGGGAGGCTAACCTAATTACCTCAGGGGATGGTGAAGGAAGAGCTCGGTTAACCTTAAAATACTATAGGAATGTGAGCTCTTACAGTATGAGTCCTTTCTAAAAGACCCTCCCTCTACAACCTACTTTTCTGGTTTTCTTTCATACTAAGTCCCTTCACAAACTCTCTTTTCTGCTGCCGAACTGGACAAATAGCCATTCCTTGTACAGGGTCCTCCATCTCCCTCTATGTTCAGGCTACTCCCATGTACCTGGAATACACTCTCATGGGTTCATAGACCTAGGGCTGGGAGTGTGAATTTCAAAGCTCAGTCCCTTCAATTTGCAGATGAGGAAACTGAGGCCCAGAGAGTTTACGTGACTTACCTGCCCAGGGGTGATATAGTAGGTGCAGGAGCTGGGATTCCAACCTCGGTCCTCCAACCATGCAACTTCCTATTTCAACTCTCTGGGCCTCAGTTTCCCTACCTGCCAAGACGGTTGGGAACCCCTTCAAGAAGTCATAGGGCTATTCTGGGGGAAGGGTTTTGGAATCCTCAGTGGGTGCCTAACCACAACAGGTGGTTATTCTGGTGTTTATTAGTAGGAGACATAAAAATAAAAAAGTGGTAGGAGGCCACCTTCCCAAACACTCCCCCTCAATACTGGCTCAGTCACTGTGGGTGACTTAACCCAAGTGTCCTTTTCCAGTGGGATGGCTGACTAAGCTGGACATTGCTCATTCAGTGAAATAGGCCCTGAGCTGGGGAGCTTTAGGCTGGGCTGATGTCATAGATGGGCCAAGTGACCCCAACCCTGATCGAAGCCAGCTTTGCGTCCAGAGGAAAAGCATCTGGGGAAGGACCCAAGGATTCCTCTGATATAGGAGTCTGGGTCCATAATCCGATTTCTTATTGAGTGGTCTAATCTTAAAAGGGGAAAAAAAAATGAACTTCTCTGGCGAGATGTTTGGCCATAAATAGATTTCTCTGGGAACTGGTTAGGAGATAAGAATGTGGCAATGTTTGTTTGTTGGGGGAAGTGTCTGCGTTGTTTTCCTATGGGTGTGTTTGTGTGGAGGCTCTGGGAGAAACTCCTCCTCTGTCCCCACCAGCCCTGAAACCCCCTGAAGGCTTCCCCATTTGGCATTGGGGAATCTGGCTCTGAGCCTTTCCCAAGATTTCCTAATATGGAGTGGGGACACTTTCTCCACAGTCTCTGCCTCTGAGGAGGGGGCGGGGTTGGACGTGTTGCTGCTTCCTGGCTTTCTAACCATCCCCTCACGGTTGGTTACCCATGCTTTGTTTTTCACGGGATATGGTTTATATATAAGTTTATATAATCTTTCAATAGTAACAGCAACAACAATAACAGCTACACTTATATATCGCTTTATGGTTTGCAAAGCACTTTATCTTTATCACAAATATTATCTCATATGGTCCTCACAATCAATCCAGGAGGTAGGTGTTATTATCCCCATTTTGCAGATGAGGAAACTGAGGCAAACAGGGTTAAGTGACTTGCCCAGATTCACACAGCTAGTAAATGTCTGAGTCTGGATTTGAACTCAGGTCTTTCTGACTCCAGGTCCAGCCTTCTATCCACTTGGCTCCCCAGCTGCAAAACGTTTCTCAAGTTCCACATTTATTGTTTGCCAGGTACTAACCCATCTTCTACAAGAAACCTTTCCTAACCCTCCTTAATCTAAGCCCTCCTTCTGAGACTACCTCCAATTTATCTTGTCTACGTGTCATTGTTTAGTTGTTTTTCAGTCATGTCTGACTCTTTGTGACTCCATTTAGGGTTTTCTTTCTTTTTTTTTTTTTAAAGGCAATTGGGGTTAAGTGACTTGCCCAGGGTCACACAGCTAGTAAGTGTCAAGTGTTTGGTCTGAGGCTGGATTTGAACTCAGGTCCTTCTGACTTCAGGGCCGGTGCTCTATCCACTGCGCCACCTAGCTGCCCCAATTTAGGGTTTTCTTGACAAAGATAATGGAGTGGTTTGCCATTTCCTTCTCGAGCTCATTTTACAGATGAGGAAACTGAGGCAAACAGGGTTTAGCAACTTGCCCAGGGTCACACAGCTAGTTAAGTGTGTGGGGTCAGATTTGAGTTTAGGGCCTCCTGACTTCAGGCCCAAGTGCTCTATCTACTGCTCCACCTAGTTGCCCCTGTCTGTAGCTTGTTTATTTAGATGTTGTCTCTTCCATTAGACTGTGAGGTTGGTAAGAACAGAGACTGTGCTTTTTTGCCTTTCCTCTTTTGCCCAGCACTTAGTACATTGCCTGACACAGAGTAGGTACTTAAAAAATGCTAGTTGACTGACTGATGAACTAG